AGGCGGCTGGGGGCCGCGTCGAGCAGGCGGCTGGGGGCCGCGTCGAGCAGGCGGCTGGGGCCGCGATCGTAGCGGGCGGCTGGGGCCGCGACTTAGCGGGCGGCTGGGCCGCGTGTGGGAGGGAGGCGACACGGAGGGTCGCTCGATAGCGGAAAAAAAAAGTTGAGCGCGCCTCGGGGCGCGCTTCGGTGGGCCCTAGGCAGAGTTCCACAGGGAACCCGCTCTATACCATGTGAAATGAGTAAGCAGGAATGAAATGACTAAGGAAAGATTGGGTACAAATACAACCCTAGAAACCCTGTACCCCATATGTGCTACCCCACTATAGCCTACAGCAACTATGTCATATAAATCTGACATGAGCAAAATGGATCGTACGCGATACACACCCGCAGCAAATTCAGGTTCACAAGGAGGTGCGCCCTATGCTGACATCAAGCAGGGGCAACCACTGAGCCGCTCTTGATCGAGGGAGGTCCAGGGAGCGCCAACGTCTGCACACGCCGACAAAGAATCAGTAGGGACACGACGGGGTGCGTGGAGAGGGGGGATTTCAGTAACAATGTCAGACATAAAAATATATCACTAATCGTCTACGTGAGTCCAGGATGCGAGCGTTCGATGCCATAACGCCCACCTTTGAGCCATGTTAAAGTGACGGTGCACATTCCTATGGGTGGTTTTTGGGGGTATAATTAGGGTACACCCTTTCATGCTAGCTGATTGGTTGGCGAAGTGACCAAGGTTTGTAAAAGCTGGTGCGAGGTTTCCAAGGCAAGTGATAAACCTTTGGGCCCTGTTTGGTAGCCTCCCAGTCGCACTGGGCCCACTCGAACTGGAGAAGCGTCCGAGATGTTGCTTAGCCTCGGGCTTCCACTCACACTGAATAGAAGTTTCTAGTTCATTTTAAGATAGTTTCCTTGAAATATGTTATAGATCTCTTGATACGATTGTGGTTCTGTAGCAGACTGACCTCGAAGCAAAATGTACTTGCCCGTCGCACGGTTACCCGGCCATACAAAGAGGAAATTAAAAACATCACGTTTTGTGGGCCAACATTTCTTGGTTCAAGGAGGTAAATTTTAAAAAATTGGCCCGAAATTTTCTAATCTTAAGTTAACCCAAAACTGTGCCACTCAGAGTGGCCCTCGCGGAGTGAAACTCAAACCCCAAACAGGGAGCCACTTCCACTGCGAGACCAGTTTGCCCGGGAAGGAATTTTTCCTTGAAGTTTCGAGGCCCGCAGTTAGACTTGGTTTTTGAAGCGTTCGGTAGCCAAGTCACACTGGGCAGGTTCGGTGTTCCAATATCGAGCTAGTGGGCTTTAACAATGTCCTTGAAACCTGCCTTCCACCAACCGCAGTATGAGTAGGGCGTCTACCGAACAGGGCCCTGGGTCCACCCCCCCCCAAAGTACACCATCGCTTTATGCTTTGCCGCCCAAGGAGAAGCTTCAGTCGTTGTTGTAGCCGAAGAGTGATGCTAACATCGTACGTATCTCACATGTTACGAGCCGAGATCCAGCTTTACAGCAAAGGTTTATTTCGAGAATGTTGATTGGTTGCTGAGGTCACGCGGTGACCCATCAAGTTTTGCTCGCAACATTGTGTGTCAAAACCGTTAGGGTAGGGGGACTGTACCAAATACGGTACAACTATCGTTCAAAACAGCAATAACCTCTTTCAACAAAAGAAGGTAGGTTACACAAGCCCAAAACAAGTTCACAAGATGTGCTAAAGTGTAAGACAGGATATATGAGCAACAAAAGAAACCACATAACAGAGCCAACAGGGTTGAGGACATCTACTCGTGCAACACACCTCTTGTGACAACGACCAGGAGGTGTGCAATACACCTCCAGTGACAACGGACAGGAGGAGTGCAACACACCTCCTGTGACAACGAGCAGGAGGTGTGCAACACACCCATAGCACCATGCCCATTCCCCCCCTGGACCACAGAGCATGGGATTATGAGCTGGGAGTCGTGGCATCAACCACTCAGGGCGTGGAATACACACCACCAGCGCCCTCTCCCCCACTCTCCCTCTGTCCTACCCTCATACCACCCAGAATACTGCAGCATGGGAATGTGAGCATGGGTTGTCTTGAGTCATTTGCCACAGGTCCCCAAGCCGTGGGGCCCAGGGGTCAGCAGCTGCCTGTGAAAAAGCTGCTCCCGCTGCAAGGTTGGACTTGGACAAGAGGGAGATGGCTGGCTTCGCTGCAGCACCACCGAAAATCTCTGGCGGTAGTGTGCATTGAGCCGGGCAGCAGTTGTTGTAAGCCGCCCCTTCCTGAACTTGGTTTTTGCCGCGTGGTTGGCCAGCATGCGGAGGAAGTGAATTGTGTCCGCAGCCATGGCCCCACACGTCTCGGCAGCAAGCCAAAAAAACCCCGCATAGCTCGTTCGCCCCTCATAGAGCCGATGATTCCTCTGTGAAGCTTCTTCCGCCACCCACTCTGGCGGCCTACGGGCTCTGCTGTCTCTATTCTGCAGCACGGGATCCGTCACGGTGATGTCTGTCACCCACGTTTCTCCAGGTTCTTCGTCTCGAATGGCTAAGTCGGCTCGCTTCCTCATCACCGGCGGCGAGAAAGCAGAAGTTTCATGGAACGTCTTGTAACCAGCCTCGCTAGCTATGCGCACCGCCACATATACTAGGGTGTTGTGAGTCCTGACCGCATCCCCCCCATCTTGGCAACGAATTAGATGGTTCGGGAGGCTTTTGTCCCCAATCGCCGAGTTATTACGTCTGCACGGGCACACTTCAGCTACAGGGAGCTCCATGCCGAGGCGAAGGCCAAGGGCCAACGAGAACTGAGCAGGGGAAATGAAGAGGTCACCTCTTGTTGGTACCGCGTGTAGCCAATCACCCGCGCCTATCCCTTTCAGACGAATCAGCCGCTGCGCGTGGCCTCCGTTGTTGCCAGGCCGGTCCACCACTTTGTCACCAAAGAGCTCCACGATGCACTGCTGGTTGATGTGTTTTGAGAGGCACAGCTGGAGACTCCCCGTACCTTTAACCCCTGTCCTGTAGGCACCCAGTGCCGCCTGTGCTTGTGCCGGAAGTCTCTCCTCTAGACGTGACATAACGTTGCTGTCTGGAGGCAGCGGGGTCCAGTCGTGGGAGAGCAGGGTCGTGGCTTTGTGCAGCAGGCGGCCTGGGGGTAGGTTTAGGTGCTGCAGTAGAGTGTGCGCCGCTGTGATAGAGGCAATGTAGGCTGCTGGGGCCTCCGAGACGGGGTCGATGTTGCCCAAGCCCCCCAGGCGAATCGAAAGGGTGGCCTGCCACCACAGTAGGCTCTGCTCCAGCTCCGAAGTGGGGATGCGGAGCTTTGCGGCCGTGAGTGCCGAGCCCACCAGCGCCTCACTCCATTCCCTCTACTCTCCAGGAGTCAGTGTTGAAGCCAGTGTTGTTCGCAGCATGTAGGAGATGCGGCGGGAGATGCTGCGTGCAACGATCAGCATGGCGTGTTGCGGGTTCAGCTGAGAGACGAGGAAAAGGGGTGAGGCAGCCTCCTCAACTGCCACCCGGACTTGGGTGGTGCAGAAGTCGTCATTGCCGATAGGACTGTCGAGACCCGTATACCGCCCGGGTTAGCAGCTAAGCCCAGGGTAGCTCCCCGTTTTCTCCATCGTTCGTGCCCCCCCATGCCGAGGACTTTGAGATGTTGCATCGTAGCCCAAACGCGGCTAGGTCGCCTGCAAATTTAGTGAAGGCGCGTCATGCTTCTTCCCATGGGCCGACGATGGTAATGTCGTCCGCATAGGCGACCACAGCGACCTCTGGTGACGTCGTTGAGACACTCAGGAGGGTAGGCTAGATTGCCGCCGCAAATAGGAGGGGGCCCAAAGGATCTCCCTGTCTGACGCCTCTCGAGCTCTGGATGGAATCGATGCCCAAGCGAGCATCGACGAGCAGCGGCAAGGGTCCGTCGTAGAGATTGCGGACTAGGGAGAGCAGCTGGCTGAGACTAGACCACTGCAGCGAGCCCAGGAACGCTTGTCGTTCGACGCTGTTAAAAGCATTTTCGACGTCTAACTGGAGGGCGATGCGGGACTTGTCTTTCCGGAGAAGGGAGCGGACACCGTGGATGATGCACTCCGCACCTCCTCGAACCGCCACGCCAAACTGAACCAGTAGGAAAAAATCTCGGATCTTAAGTCCGAGAGTATGAAGCGCCGCCTTTGCTACTACGCAGAGCAGCGATTTGCCAATCGCTATAGGCCGCACCCCACCATTCGGCTTCTCTATAGCGATTAGACGAGAAGGTAGGAGGAGTTTCCGCACATGGGATGCCTGGAAGGTGCTAAGCATCCGATTGACGACCTTGGCAAAAAGCAGCAGCAATTCTTCATTGGCAAGGGTGGTGTCTCTGAGGTGCTCGAAACAGGTGCCAGACGGCCTAGCTCCAACCCCGTTCGGGCATTTCGCTAGGATTTCGCGAAGCGAATCTAGCGGGACAGCCAAGTCGGAGTCTGTGATTCCTGTAACCCAAGCCGGTATCTTACTCCCCGCTGTAGGGTGCTTCGCTTGCAGAGCCTCAAGTGTAGCCGGAGTTGCTTCTTCCAGGGGGCTTGTTCGCAGCGCTTCCACTGCCTTCAAAATGTTACCTTTTTTCACTAACCCTTCAGCCCGTGCACAAACCCCTTCCACGTCTGCCTGGTGTCGTACCGGGGCTCCCGTGTTGGGGATGACCCCTGCTTCCTCGAACAGTTCTGCCCAGTCGCCTCTTTGGAATTTGTGCAGCTGTGATTCAATTGCTGCCCAGCGACTCCCCAAAACAGGTTCGGGTGCTGGCCTCAGGGTGAGCCTCGGAAGGAACAACAGGACCGTCCATCCCCCTGGGCAGCTTGGGTTTTTGTCCAGGCGTATGAGGGCTACCAGCATGCACAGGCAGTATCTGTCGAGAAGCTAAGGTGGCAACCGTCGGACGAGGAATAGCTGATCGCCTCGTTGCAGTATGTCTACATTCCTCTCCCCCGCCATGAGCCAGATGGCATCGTCTTTAGCCAGGTCGGCCGGCGAAGGCACATCCGCGTCCTCCGTGGCTGCTTCTCCTGGTTCCGCTGAGTTTTGTGTGATTCCCTCCGCCGCTTCCCCTGCTTGTGGTCCTGGGTTGTTCCTCCTGCGTGGGGTTTCCTCATCGTCCAAGGAAATTTCTTCCGAGACCTCCTCTTCCCCAGCCATAAACTCTGGGTCAGCCTCAGAGTTGTCAGAAGCCTCTGGCTCCCCATTCGTCTGTGGCGTCTCTCTCTCCGGCCTGTCGTGACGTTCCCGCCAGGGACCAGTCTTAATAGGGATCTCAGATCTGGGCACAACGTTGCGCCCTCCCTTGTCTCCCCGTAGTCCCCCGTGCAAATTTCCGCGGTTGCCCTGTCTAGCAGTGCTTGCCGTTTCCGCCGTGGCGTTGCCTTCGCGGCCCGCCGGCATCCACGGTGTTCGGCCGCCCCGTGGTAAACCCCAGGTTATCGTTCCAAGCCTCGCCGAGTGCCTGGTGCCGGCCGTCACCGCCGCTGTCGCATTCGCATCAGCCGCTTCTGCCATTAACCCTGCTGCCCGTGGCGCCACATTCGCCCCACGGTTACCATTTCCTGCACCCTCCTGCGCCTGCGTTGTTGCCGCCGGCGTCGCTGCTTGTGCAGTGGCAGTCCGTGCTGACGTGTCGCCTTGGGATGGCAACGGATGCGCTGGCTCTCGTGGCGACTGCCCTTGCCGTAGCCAGCCCAGGAGGGGTCCCAGGGATCCACGTCCCAGCCCTGCTCCAAGCCGCCTCGGTGCTGGCTGGGCTCGGGTCTTCTTCCTTGACGCCTTCTCGCAGGAGGGTGAAACCATGCCACCGGTCGCGCACCCCGATCTATCACCCACCCGCTGGCCGTGCACTTGCGTGTCTGCGTCCGCAGCAGCAGCAAGCGTTTTGGCGGACGAACCGCCAGCCTGCCCAGCATCTCCGTTCGAGCCTTCATCCTGTCGCCTCGCTGCTGCAGCAACCGCCACAGCCAGCTCTGCCGCTTTTGGAGAGTGATCTAAGCTTGCCAGTGAAGAATGAGCCCCATGGGCAAGGAACTAGGGACTTTATACTAGGAAAACATTGCTGAAAACGGCTAAGGACTAGGGACTAGGCTAGAGAGGCTAAAAACGGCTAAGGACTAGTCCCAAGCCATCTCTCTCTCTCTCTCTCTCTCTCTCTCTCTCTCTCTCTCTCTCTCTCTCTCTCTCTCTCTCTCTCTCTCTCTCTCTCTCTCTCTCTCTCTCTCTCTCTCTCTCTCTCTCTCTCTCTCTCTCTCTCTCTCTCTCTCTCTCTCTCTCTCTCTCTCTCTCGCTCTCTCTCGAACGAGCCGCTGATTTTGGAGAGTGAACTGAACTCAGCAGTGAAGAATGAGCTCAAAAGGGTGCATGGACTTTATACTAGGGAACTAGACTGAGAAACGGCTAAGGACTAAGGACTAGGACTAAGGGGCTGAAAAATGGCTAAGGACTAGCCCCAAGCCATCTCTCTCTCTCTCTCTAATGGTCCTTGTATTGATATAGCCGTGGAATACAAGCATGCAAGTCATAGAAACAAGGGTAACAAACAGACACAGCAACAGATCCTACCAACTACCACTCTAGAGCTCCAGGAAGGGCTCGACCACTGCAAAACAGTCCCCTAGGTTCAACTCCTGCCCAATACCACCTACATGCGGGTTCTCTGCTATCGCTGCCTCCCCCAGCTTGAGTAGCAGGCCCACAGATTGGGCTCTCTGCAAGGCCAATGACCATCTATGTCTGAACTGGTGCAGAAACTTGGCGGCATGAAATGATTTGGAGTCGGTGTTGAAGTGGCGCCGAGCCGCGGTGTCTGCTAAGAGTTTCAGGAAGACCGGTACGTCGGCGCAAGGACAGCCATAGGTTTCCATGGCCAGAGGGAAGAAGCTAACTGTCTCCGGCCTGTTGGCGTAATGCTTTATCTTTTTGTCAGCCTGCTCCCGTACCGCCCATCTCCTTCCTTTCAGTGCCTCGGGGTCCCTTGTGCTGATGGGGTCAGTGATCGTGACGTCACACACATAGACCGCCCTGCTGCTCCTGTCACTCATAGTGAAATCGGCCGTCTGTTCCTCGATGGGGCAGTGGGCGGCCGACTCGCTATGCACGATAAACGCCGCGTCTTGCGCCATGCTAATGCATGCGTCCCGCAGCTCGTTGTAGGTGTTGATGCGCTACTTTCCTGTGCCGCAGCGGAGGAGGTGGTTTGGGAGGCGGGGGTCAGTGATAGCCGTGTGGTCAGAGCAGTCACACTTCTTTGGCGTTGAAAACAGGAGGCCTAGCCGAAAGCGCACAGCATTGGCGAAGTGCACGGGTCCTACTCGTCTGTTTGGGGCGATAGGGATAGCGGTCAGCCAGTCACCAGTTCCGTATCCTGTCAGGGAGAACATCCGCTGCGTATGGCCTGAGAGGGGGTTCGGCTTCATGTTCCTCGTGCCCTGGACCTGCACGGCGTATCTGCTGCCGTGGACCTTCAAACCGAGCACATGCTGGAGCCTTATGTCTGAAGGTGACAAACGCTCCTTCTCCAGAATCACCCTCGCGTCTCCTGGCAACGCTGCTTCGCACTCGGTAAGCCATGTGTGCAGAGGCGTTGTGTCGTCCCGTGGCAAGAGCATGTGGTTCCTCGCCTGGGTCAATGCGTTTTCTGGGTCTAGCTCGAGGGAGGATAGGAATAGCGCAGCCTGGAGGAAACTAGCCGTGAAGCCGTATACGCCTTCTACTAAGGGGTCCGTGATGCCAATGCCACCTAGTGACGGTGGCAAGGAAGCCTGCGCCCAGACACGGGCTTGTCCGGCTCTGCTCATTGGAACGCGGATATCACACGCTACCAGCAGTGCTGTCAGTAGGTCTTGTCCCCACTGGCTCCAGCTGTCTCGGGGGAGTAGATGGAGTGGCGTCGTTCTGGTGAGGTAAGCCACGCACCTGGAGATGCAGCGTGTGGCTAACAACGAGGCTACCTAGGGGTTTGCTCGTTCCAGGAGGGGCAGTGGCTTCGCCATCTCCTCCAGCTGTCCAGACAAAAATCTTGCCGCCCCAAAGTCGGGCCCCAGGTAGCTGCCCAAGAGTCGCACCCCGTCTGCTAAATACGGCACTCCTGGCGGAAGTTGCGTCTGATCAACCGTGCACGAACTCCAGGCCGCGCACTTCTGTGGGCTGTGCTTCAGTCCCAGGCGTGCCAGTTTGTCTGTGAAGAACGTAAAAGCTGCAACTGTTCGAGTCGTTTCCCCAAGGAAAGTGACGTCATCCGCGTAAGCCAGGCAGAGTACATCCGGATGTGCCTCGGCCGTTTCTCGAAGTGTGGGGTGTATTCCCGCTGCGAACAGTAGTGGTCCAAGTGGGTCGCCCTGGCGAACCCCGCGTTCGCTTTTTAAAGGTTTGCTGTTGAAGTTTGCGTCCAGGTACAGCAGCGACGGGTTACCGTAGGTCAGTTTGACTATCGGGAGCAGTGGCGAAAGGCTGGGGTCGTGTAACGCTGTGGCGATGGCTTGTCGTGAAATACTGTTGAATGCGTTGGAAATGTCCATTTGCAGAACCAGGCTGTTGGGACGGGCATCTAAAAATGCACGGGCAGCGTGAATGATCGCCTCCGCTCCCCCCGGCACCGCCACCCCGTATTGAAGTGGTAGAAAGTACTCGCGGGCAGATTCTCCCATGACTGTCAGGGCAGCTTTGGCCGCAAGCCTGGTCAGGCATTCACCTATTGCGATTGGCCGGGCGCCTCCTCCCGGTTTGGCTAGAGCGATGAGCCGCGACGCCGTTGTGAAGAAGAGAACGAGAGAATGTGTGAACTATGAACGAAGTGAGTACAAATAGGAAACCCTAGCTGGGTTGTACCCCCTATGGGATACCCCACTATAGCCTACACAAATAAGTAAGCTATAATGTTCTGACACACCCCCATAGGCAAAGTGGGGGAGAACAAGGGGTCACAAGACCAGTCAAGCAAAGCAAAGCAAAGCTCAGGGTGGATCACAAAGTCACCACACATTCCGAGCACAAGTTCAAGGGCCACAAGGCCAGTTCACATGCAAGATCATATATATAGAGATATACAAGAGTCAAGCAAGCAAGAGCAAGACTATATATATGTGACGGTACAAGGAAGGTCAAGAAGTGAGCAAGTGAGGCAAGACAGACACAAGACCCAGCTGCGTGCAGCAACGCTGATGATCACAAGGCGCAAGTGCCTTGGTGAACACATCAGCAGTGTTGGCCTCAGAGGCCACGTACGCAAGTCGCAACTGTCCACGCTGCTGTAGCTCACGAGCAAGAAAGTAGCGGAGAGCAATGTGCTTCGTTCTGTGCTCCAGTCGCTGCTCTCGACACAAGGCCAGCATGGCCTTGTTGTCTACGTACAGGACTGGAGGAGAACGAGGCTGCTCTCCAAGGTCGGTCAGCAGGTAGGTGAGCCAGCGTAACTCCTGTGCAGCCATAGCCCCAGCGTAGATCTCAGCCTCACAACTGGAGCCGAGAACAGAAGACGAGCGGGTAGCCCGCCACGAAACAGAGCCGGAACCAAGGCTGAAGGTGTAACCCTGTGACGACCGCTGCGTAGCCTGGTCGTCAGCCCAAGAAGCGTCTGCGTGCCCAGTGAGGACCACTGGACTGCGCCCTCCAAGCACTAGCCCCATGCCCGACGTACTGCACAAGTAGCGCAACACCCTCTTCGCTGCAGCCATGTGCTCTGGTCGGTGTCTCCCAGGAGCAACATAGCGTGCGAGAATGCTAAGAGGGTATGCAAGGTCAGGTCGAGTGCAGGTCATCAGGTACATGAGGCAGCCAACAAGCTCTGCATACGGGCCACTCGACTCTACGGACTCATCCGAAGGTAGAGCTGAGAGCGAGTGGCGAGTAGGCAGAGGAGTGGCCTGAGGCGAGGAGTACGTGAAGCCGAAGCGCTGAAGGACCTGCTGCACCATGTGTGACTGAGTCAGGGTAATGGTGCGGCGTGCTCTGTCCCGGGTGATCTGCAAGCCAAGGTAGCTGCGCAGTTCACCCAGGTCAGTGCACGTGTGTCTCTTCTGCAGCTCGGACTTCACGTAGGCGAGTCCAGCAGTGTCAGCTGTGGCAAAGACCAAGTCGTCGACGTACTCGAGGATGTAGAACGGCGGCAGAGAGGTGTCGGTGCGCAGAAACAGCGACGGGTCGGCAGTAGACGGAGCAAACCCAAGTGCCGCGAGCGTAGTCCTCAGTGTGTCGTGCCACTCACGTGGCGCCTGGCGGAGACCGTAGACTGGACGCCGGAGACTCCACTGGGTACCAGGAGGGAAAGACCCTGTGAAGCCAGGTGGGCGGCGCAGCCAGATCTCCTCGTGCAGACTGCCCTGCAAGAAAGCTGTGCTGAAGTCGAGAGAGTGCAGCTCGTAGTCACGGTGAGCAGCAACGTGCAGCAGAACCCGAAGAGTGGTCATCTTCGGGGTGGGGGAGAAGGTCTGAAAGTAGTCAACCCCCTGCCGCTGACTGAAGCCACGAGCCACGTAACGCGCCTTGAAGACAGGCGGAGAACCCGGCGGCCGCTTCACCCTGAAAATCCACATGCCACTGACGATGTTCGCCCCAGGAGGGGGGACAGCGTCGACGTAGGTGCCTGTGGACTTCCAGGAAGCCATCTCTGCGTCCATAGCTGCCTGCCACTGAGAGGAGTAGGGACCCTCTATCGCCTCCGCGTAAGAGCGCGGAGTCGGGATGTCTGGTGCATCCGGGTCTCCCTCAGGGGCTAGCAGTACAGACGCGAGATGGGGTGAAGCGGCGGCCAGACACTGGAACTCCTCCTGCCTGTCCTCAAGGACGTCCGTGCCGAGGGCACACTCACCCCCGACGGACGGAGGACAGGCAGACTCAGACTCAGCGACAAGACTGGCAGCGTAGTCTAGACGACAGCGCTCAGCAAAGTCGACAAGCTCAGTGACAAGGGCAGACGCAGCAGACGACTCGAAGGAAGGGTCAGTGACAGCAGTAGCAAGGAGACGCGTGACAGTAGGACTGGCAGCACGAAGA